AGTTTGCTTAGGTGTGTGACCCTGTAGGATCATATAAAATTAGTAATGAATTCTCAATCCATAGATTATAAGCGGTTTCTAGCAAAACATTATAACCACCTAATTTTATACGATTCTCGACGTTACGACTTTATAGAGTAAGTACAAATGATTTTAGGACATTCCCAACAATCTCCCACTTGTACTAGAATCATCTATTCTCATAATCCCTTTGTCTCTATATCTCAATCTTAGCATAAGGCAAAAACTTGTGTCATCCTTATTAAGCTAGATCACTTTTATCGAACTCTGATTTATACTGATAAAACAAACGACTGACATTCACCTCGTTTGAGCATGGCCATGCATTTCTCAGTATCAAATCTTCGATAGGCCTTGAGATAATTATCTCCCGTTATATGGGAGGGACAAATCCCATCTTGTTCCATCCCTGCTCCTTACAAACTTCATAGAGCACCTAATCAATGCCTTTATAATCACCAGTTACGGCTGACGTTTGACAAGGTCAAAGTGAACTAATCCACAAGTAAAGAAGCATGACGAACTCAGGTCTAAGGACTATACTCTATAGTCGTAATGAGAAACTCTTATGACACTCATATAACAATCTTGCAGAGTTCTCATTAGCAGGCCAGCCCGATCATGTGTTCTCTAACACATATCCATGTGATTGACTTCAATACAACATATTGAATGACTCCATGAAACTTAGTCATCAATCACCTCACATACTAGTCATTCTCGGTTATTAATGCCCCATGTTAATAACCTTGACTAGGGACCTCAATAATTTATACCATCTTTCACTTATAAGGTTTCATGCTCAAGTCACGTACTTGATGACTTATAAGAATGATGTAAATTATTTTGGGACATTTATTTTAATTATCTAATAATAAAATAAACCTGAAACAATTTCATTAGTTTAAATACATAATCAAATGTATGTCAATATGAACATCATATCATAAACGTAAAATCTCCCACTAAAATCAAGATCACATCTTAATATACTTAATGAC